CACTGAGCAGACCCCTCCTGGCAACGCTACCCGAAGGTGACCAGAAACTTGCCCATGTAGTTCAAAATGCAAACCTCCTGCCAGTTAACCCAAACGGTCGGGTCTCGTTTTTCAACTTGCGGTCGCGCCTGAGCGCTCGGAACTCCTCCTCAATTGCTCGATAAGCACACCGCGCCTACAACGACTCGCTTTATTATTCAGAGTGAATAAATCAACTGAGTTTCACCACTCTAGTGATATGAAAAACACTGGTGAGAAATATATTCCGCGACTACTGACTGCATATCGCGTTTTTCACAGAAAATTACGCCACTTCACGTAAAGTGGGTCGTGAAACTCCAATATTAAAGTCATATTATATCTGTGTGATCTTCCAAAATGTGTTTGCCATTCAGAATAACTTATTCTGAATAAGTCTTCCTCTCTACGTTTTCCTACGACGATAATGACTATACGCTCTAGCGCTAAATTTCGAGACCTGCTGTTGTACATAATTACAAACTCCATGTGGAGGGAAGCAGTCCACGCCATTTACCTTAGTTGGGGCATTTTTACTAACCTTCATATCGAAGACCCTTTGCCGAGCTTTTGAGCTCCTCTTAGTCGCAAAGGCCCGCCGCCATTGTTGACTTATCAGCGAGGTGGCTGGCATGGTACAAAGGCTATAGCTAGGCCTACAGCTCCCTATCAGTTGCCGAGATATACATCTCTATTGCCAATAAGCATTCCATTAGAGCACTCAATCGTTTGGCAATAAGCGACTACTGGAGGATTCCGATGGTTCAATGCTGACACGGACTGCTATAGTAAGCTGTAGTAGAGCATGGCACCGACAATTCCACATACCCGTGTGATACTTCGCTGTCGCAGATTACCTTACCGAATGCGATGGTCCACCGAAGACTGTAAAGACTTTAATGCGCAACAGAATGGTATTAACTCAACACCTTGCTGTGGCAGACTGTATACAAGGCGATACAACAAGACGTAAATAGTAAATGTCGAAAGTAATGTATGAGAATCGAACCCGCGACCTCTCTGATCACGGCTGACCACGTTAACCACTGGACTAATGTTACTACTATGAAGAGAAATGCAGAACTTGTACGTGGTACGAATCGATGAAAACGTAAGTGCACTTATATCATAAGATAGTCGTTGAATTGGCAATGTTACTTTGGATGTTCTCAAGGGGATACTGATCACGGCCAGGTGTGCCAGGGTGAAGCTTTGTAGACGACCCTCACGACTCTGTCACGCAACCTCCCGAGCTCTGCCGTTTTAGATCTGTAGAATCTCCAGACACACAAGAGGTAGACGCCGAAAGAACATATCGTCCCGTCCTGTTCGATCGCCTCTAAATAGGTGAAGCCCCGACCAGTGAGGAAACTGAGGATCGCATCGTTGTTGACATCATCCGTGAATAACGGGTCGTCAAGTGGCGGAGTGAAGTCGTGAGTGACTAAGTAGAGCAGCCTTGACCGACGGGCCAGCGAGTCGGATTGTTGGTCATCCCAGAACTCTGGGGGGAAGACGATGACCCCGCAGTTATCTCGTAGGTACGAAATTATGAGGGACTCTGTCCAAAAGCGTTCACATCGGGACTTTTTTCGAGGTGGTTGTTCAGTTTTAGGCGGCTCTGATGGAAGACGAGAAAGTCCAATGCACTTGGGTAAAGAAAGAAGGCCGCCACTGTGACCACGGTGACAGCCGAAGATCAACTTGTAGAGCCTGTTGATCACCATTGAAGTGGGTTGTGTGACAAAGGCGCGCGATAGTTGCTGTTGAAACGAAAGTCACGCGCCAGGAAATACCGCGCACGCCTAGAAAAACGTCTTTAAGCGCAAGATGCTGTCGATGTTCCGGCACCTGTGAGCTAATTACAGTTGTAGACTTTTTCTATCATGCCTTCATTCGAGTCTCCTCGTCACTACAACGTCCCTTGGCCGCAGTGTCCTCGAGAGCCACGGAAACGTAGTCTGTCAGAGACTGCCTCCCATACCTCTGTTGCCGAGCCCAAGCGACCACGGACCACCTCTGTCTCAGCAGCTGCGGCAGCTGCCGTTGCTGCTGCTCAAGGTGAGTTGATTGAAAGCATGCCCTTGGATAATGACTACTCTAGGTTTGGTCCAAGCCCCACGGCATCGCCGAGCGAGTGTTGCTGGGCATCCTGTTGGCCTGGGTGCTTTAGCGCAGCAGCAGCGATTCATAGCCGAGATGGGAGGAGTTGCAGGTAGGCTTCGTAGCCATAACGTCAGGCTCTGCTCATTTGCAGGTTCTTTTGAGGAACCCTATCAAGCCAACCTCTTCACTCGACAGGTCGTGTGTCATGAAGACCTCATCGGAAGGGTGAGTTACTCTTATTAGCATAGTTGGTGCGGAAGTGCGAAGCTGCGTCAGGTCATAGGAGTTAATGGTGTTAACGTTAAGCGTATCGAGGCCAACACCTCCTGTGAGATCCACCATAACGAAGTGGATGGGCAGCCTGGGTTCGTTGCAGTGTCTATCGCAGGGAGTCGGGGTTAATTTTCTGAAGGGTTGCCTCTCTATGTGTATGATCAGATTCCCAAGCAGCTGTTGACGATTGCGCGGCTTGCATTGAGCAACTCGTCACCAACATTCGACAGGAGATACTGAGGACTAATAGGGCGAGTTTACTCCCTAGAGAAGCTGTGACGACCGTTCGCAGGGAGCATAGTCTCAGTCGTCGTTGTCGTATTAGGTTCTAGTCGTACCGGGCTTCATTCAGTCAGCGTTGATCGGTCCGAGAGGTTGCGTCTTGCGAACCATCGAGCACGACTCTAGTACTCGTATCCAACTGGGTAGGTGGGGCCGGCGGCTGCTGGGGGTTGCGGCTCATCCGTCTCGTTATTCAGATAAGGGCTCAGTCGTAACTGGTCGCTTTGATGATCAAATGGTTGACGCCAAGTATGGTGGTCATCGGATCACCATCAAGGGCGCTGATTATGTCAGCCTTGGATTAGCTGCTGAGTATATAGCGTTAGTGATCATTGGGAGGTACCCTATAGATTTTGCTATGCATCGCTTCATGAGGTGAGTTTCGCATGCCCGGCGCGGTTGTGACGGTGTACGTTTCAGCGGGTATAAGATGGAAACCTATCGTGGAATGTCGGTGGAAGAGTCGCTGGTCTACCGTCAGTTGCCGTTGGAGTGGTTGGACCATTTCTTGCAGTGTAGTGATTCGCTGAAGATGGAGCAGGACAAAATGAGAAGGAGTCTTATGGTTCGGTATACGTGTGAGCTCCGAGAGAAGTACTTTATCTCCTCGGATTTGCTGAAGTGGAGCCGCATCAATAGGAAGGTGATCAGTTTCTTGTCTGGGCATATGATGGCCGCTCAAGAAAAGGGTCGTATGAAAACAGCGTCACCACCAACGTCGAGTGGTGGGCCGGGAGAGATATCTGTCATTGACGATAAGAAGAGAGGGACGAGCTGTGATACAGCATCGAGTTAATTGAGTTCTTCATTTTAGTGTGTTACTCGTTCACTGCATTTTGACGTGGACTCACACGGTTTACTAACGTCGCATGTTCGACGTGTGCAGGTCTTGGCATCGGTTTCGAGCTGTATGGGGTAGAGTTGTCATAATCTATAGGGTGTAGCAGTGTGGGAAAATATGCATATGGTCGATCGCATGTGTTGGTGACTAAGTGGAAATTCTGAGGAAATTTTGGGAAATTTTCGTTAGTTATTGTACATGTTCGCCGAATTTATACGTAAATTTCATAGTTAGTGAGGAAACTCCTGGGCTGAGCTGAGGAGAGCAAACATATATGCAAACACTAGAGCGTAGGGTCTAGATTGTTATAATCAGACTATGGTTGGTCCCCATACTGCGGGGGCGAAGAGCCCGTCTGAGGAGGAGGAGCCTGCTGTTCTCTCTGTTATACCACCGTTGGCGCCTGCGCCGGTCCATCTAACTGCCTTGTATGGTAGGCCTAGCGTCTTTACAACGTATGGTCTTTGGTGCCTCTTGAGAGTTGCAATTGGTCTTTATAGGTATGTTGACTCGGGCCAGGGGGTGGAGGAACCGGGGGCCTCGGTGCCTGGTCCGGGAGCTTACGACGTGCCGCTAGATTCACTCGGCTGTCCACAAGTTCGCTCTCATTGGCGTAATGAGTCGTGTGTGACGATGACGGCGAAGAATGAGCATTCGTGGTCGCGTGTATTCATAACGAAAATGCATGCTAAAGCTGTGAAAGGCTTGGATGCTCCGGGCGCCGGGACGTATGATACCGACAGTGGCAGCCTCCGTTGTGATAAGGCCATCTCGTTCGCGCTGTCGAGGAGGCCAGATCTGTCCACTCAGCTGGGGGCAGGGGATAGAGAGAGTCCGGGGCCGGGTTACGTTGATATTCGCGACAAATACAAAGATGGCGATGTAGCGTTGAGGCCTCGGTCGTCGGTGAGATTCTCATCGGGTGAGCGGTTCAGGAAGGGCCCGATCAATGGGCTGAAGGTGGGCCCTGGAGAGGTAGTGGAGGGCCCTCTTGGGCTTCCCGGTGGAGTAGAGCGAATTGTTGTTAGTATGGAGACGTTGGCGAGTCGGCGATCGACCCTAAAAGAATGCGAAAGTCGTTCTCAGTTGGACATAGAGCATATGATAAGTAGGTCGTAGTGGTTGAGGGGTCAATGGTGAAGGCATGTTTCAGGGTCAGACGTCCGGGCTGCGAAGAGGAGAATAAGGGCCGTGCTAGTAGGGGTCCAGGCCCACCCCTATGGAGAAATATTGGTATTGATCGTTGCTTCCTCAAGGGTCTGATCTTCTCCGTTTTCCAGATAAGGACGGTTCGAGGGCGCATTCATTCGGTCGAGCGGATCGATTCGCGGTAGCAGTGGGAACGAGGAGCTCTCCAAGCTTGAGGGAGTCAGCTCTGTTGCCTGGGCCAGGACAATACAGACCAGAAGATGTGCGCACTGGTATTGCAGTGAAAAGCAGCAAGGTGTGTCTTCTATGGCGAATACTCTCCACGCTGAGTTATTTTGCTCAGCCATTTGGTGACTATCGCGTTGAAAGCTGGTCGGAAAAGAAAAGTGGAAGGCTATTGCCTGGGCCTGGGTGGTTGAAAGAGAGTCGCCTCGCGGATGTAGTTGCTTAATATTGACGAGTACATAGAACAAGAGTCGTCGCAGGTTCGGAACCCTTCTACAACCAAGTTTGGGAAGCCACCGACTAGAGGTCGTCTTAACTTCCGTTCTCTCCTCATATGTAAAGACCGAGTGTGGGGCGTTGGTTGACCTGCAACTTCATGAGGATTTTATGTCCCTTACTGATGTCTTGCCATGATTCATGGACGAACAGGCCGTTCAATTTATCATTTTATGCGGGCCAATGCAATTGAGTTGATGTTAGTGATGGGTCTTCGATGAGATACTCGCCATCGTGATTCACTCGATGGGTGTAGCTACTCGGAAAATATTTGATCCCTTGTGTGAGCTAGTGCTTATCTGGTGGCGAATTGTTTCGCGTGATGAAGCATGTCGGTACGAGTTGGGTAATCATACATAACTGGGTGGGTACGAAACTTTTGCATTTCGATGCTTTTGGCGACGAGTATCGGCTAAGGGCATGGTGTACCAATAATTAAAAACTCAGAAGCGGAGCGCCTTGTCGTATTTGGATTTTCGATGGGTTGATGAACAAACGCACCTTGGAGTTTGCGGGAGTTTTGGTCTATAGGTTTTAATTGGTTGCGAATCCGAATCGCAGGATGTAAAGTTCAGGGTGCTAACAGCTACAGTATAGAAAAAGTGATGAGTTACGATTCGGCCAACTTCCTAAGACTCGGTTGGTCTGCCTTTCGTTCAGAGGGCGTTGAGTGTCCAACATTGTCTGATAGATTTGGGAAATATCAAGATTCCATCGGGACTCGACCCCGAGTCGCTGGATTCAAAGCCCAGAGTGCTAACCACTACATTATAGAACCGGTGGTAAGTGGCGAATCGACGAGGTCAGTGGGTCTTTTTTACCTTCAGTGTCCGAATGGCAGATGGTCGACGACGTTTTCTTAGATCTGAATGATTCTCAGCGTCTGTCGGGACTGTCGAATACGTGCCATTGCAAGGGGCAATAGCCCTCATCGAAGATTAGAGTGCGAGAGATTCACACTCTCGCACTCGCACTTACACAGTGTGTGTGAGGGTAAGCTTTTGCACACTTATATGTCTTTGCACCAATTCTCGGTCGTTGTGTCATCAGTCGGTAAATCATAGAAATGGACTCCACAAGGGAGGGGATGCCTTCAAGTTTTTTCGCCGTGTCACTATACTTCTCTTTGGGCGGCTATCTGGCTTGACTCTGATGGAGCGTCGGTCCCCACTCTACCCATCTCACCGACCCAGCGTTAGTAACAGCTTCAGTAACCCAGCGTTACTGGTACGCCCGCAAGCTGAAGCTGCTATTAGGGGCACACCTTCATCTTTTGGGGATGTGTTCGTTTTCGATCAAGAGAGTATTCCTGTTCAAAGCGTGTTGAGAGCCCGAGCAGACGGCAGTTCTTGTAGTTAGTATAATCTACTGTCTGTAATATGATCCCAGATAACATATCTCAAAGTGATCTCGAAGAAGCATTGAGGCTGGTCCAAGGTGGGGAGGTTGGATCGATCAAAAACTCCTCCGACAAGAGCCCGGTAAGGCGGGATCCTCTTGCCACCGGATGATCCGAAAAAGAAGTGCCCATCTGCCGGCTTTACGTGGTGCATGTGAATATCAGACAAACTCGAACGGCATTCTAAAGCCCTCGACGAGGTCCCGATAGTTGAATAGCTCCCCATATTCGATGAGGTATAACGGTCGAGAAACCCCGTGTGTAGAGGAAAGTGCTGGCAGATTCCATTTCTGCACCACTGGAGACTTCGTCCGGAGTTTCGAATCAGTCCCTGATTTCGTCTGATATTCGTATGCGCTGTGAAATTATGAGCGGCGCCTCTCTTTCCGGAGCACATAGTATGATCGTTAACTTGTGATACAGGCTCGGTTGCTCCTCGACGAGGCTTACGGTCTACAGAACATACTCAACCGTCCGGGTAGCGATAAAGTAGAGCCTCGGTTAACTCGTGAGTGCTCAAGGTGAGGCCACTCCTCTGAACATGACCATGTCTGCCTACTCTTGAGGCCAGCTTTAGAGTTCAAACTGGTAGCAGTCTTGTGTCAGGTTTATCTCGACGGTCGTGCAACTGTGTAATGATACTGAGGCGGGTTACATCTGCCCGGATGACTTCAATAGAAAAGCCCCGGGCTACCAACAGAAGGTGGGACCCTTCAGTCCCATGAATCTGCCGGCTACTTTACTGAGAAATCGGCTCATGACTAATAGCGTTGATTCGACACTATGACAACCCTCATTGGTGTCGGGGTCTTCCAAAGAGATGTGATCAGATCCGCGAGCTGAGGGGTGAAGTTGAGCAGTATGAGGCTAACATGTCGGCCGCTAGGGAGCATTCAAAGCCAGTTAACGGCGTCATAAGACGAATTGACGAGGTCACCAAATCAGCTTGTGAAGGATCAGCGGTTGAGGCAACACTGGTGGCTGGGGAAGTCCCTTTACCATGCACCAACCAGGCAGTATATCTTGAGGCAAGCATAAGCTCGTGCTTGAGGAGATATTCGAAGAGTCATTTGGTCTCAGGAGATCGTCAATCAGAAGCTCACTCGAATGGGCAACGACTGCAGTCGAGCTATTCTCGGTGGATTCGCTCCCACTGATTTGTGTACGGAATCGGCAGTAGACGCTCTGGTTGAAGCCTTGCGGAGAATCTCGGCAAAAGAGCTGAAGTCATCACATGTAAGTTTCGTCTCTGTTGATCCAAACTGACCCCCCTCACAGATCGCTAAAGAACCTCTGAACACGTCCCAACCGGTTGTCGTCGAGCTCGACCTCAGAAGTGAGCGGTTTGCAGTGTCGCTTCCTCCATCACATACTGTGATCGGCTTCAGTCGCAATGGATGCTACTGGTCACGAATGTATCGCATGTTAGCGGTAGGTTCTGGTATAGCAGTCGAAGGCCTTCAGAAGCTCCTCCCCGTACTGGCAACTGAATCCTTGCTATCGTCATTGGAAACGATACGACTCGACTCTGAGCTCGCTCAAGACCCCTCAGTGACCATACTCATTAAGGGTTTCAGCATGTTCAGAAAGGAAATCGAAACTCATGTTAGTTCGTGATGTTCTCTCCGGGAATCGAACTCGGGTACTTTGCGTTCATGGGCATGCGTGCAGGAATTCTGTGAAGTTGTCCCCGGTAGCACTCGCGCTGGTGCTTGCTGCATTATTAGTCTAGGCATTAACTCATTACGGACGTCGTAGTTTTTCAGATAGCAGTACACCATAATGTGTCAACTGATGGTTGAATTATTGGCTTCGGCCCTTATTTGGCCTGTTGTGGAAGTTACTACACAAACTGACCGACAACTGCACAAAGCTTACGACGCGCTACGCTGCAGTATGACCTTTCATAAACTTGGAACTCTATAGATTGCTTATTGTAATTGAAGTTGGTATTCATGTCCTACAGAAGTTTACTTCATATTTTTCTCAGTTCCTTTGAATTGCAACTGTTATTCTAGTTTTATCATGAGTTTCACCACTACTACTACCGATATGAAAGTCACTCTCGTTGGAGCCTCCGGTGCTATCGGCATGCCGCTTTCGTTGTTGCTGAAGATGAACCCAATGATCACTGAGTTAGCCCTGTACGATGTCAAGCAAGCCCGTGTACCTGTTGCTGGTGTTGCTGCTGATTCCTCTCACATCAACTCTCCTGCTAAGGTCAAGGGTTATGCTGGTCCCGCTCAGCTCGAGGCCGCTCTTACAGGGTCCAAAGTCATCGTTTGTACTGCTGGTATCGCTCAAAAGCCTGGTATGTCTAGAGATGATCTTTTCAACGTCAACGCTGGTATAATGCGTCACTTGGCAACTGCGTTCGCCAAGTATGCTCCTGAGGCTGTTGTCTGCATCTTGTCGAACCCCGAGACTGCTCTCGTGCCCATCACTGCTGAAGTTTACAAGAAGGCTGGCGTATACGACTCGAGGAAGATCGTGGGTATCACCACCCTTGATGTGACACGTGCCAGGACGTTCTATGCTGAGGCTACGGGTATGGATGTTGAAAAAGTTGACGTCCCTGTTGTTGGTGGTCATGGTGGCTGTGCTATCCTCCCTCTATTCTCTAAGGCAACTCCTTATGTCAAGCTGGACGAAGAAAGCATCGAAGAGCTTGATGATCATGTTCAAAATGCAGTTACTGAGGTTGTTGATGCACTCGCTGGTGCCGGGTCGGCCAGCCTTTCAATGGCTTACTCGGCTGCCCAGTTTGTGGATATAGTTATCCGCGGGTTAAAGGGTGAAAGCCATACAGCCTGTGCTTATGTCAACGAGCCTTATGAGGACGTACAGTTCTTTGCTCATATCTGCACTTTTGGACCGGTAGGTGTTGAGAAAGTTGAGAAGCTCGTTGGTTTGACTCCGCACGAGCAGAAGAGGATGGTGGAGACTCTTGAGAAACTCCGTGAAGATATTAAGAGAGGAACTGATTTCATGGTTGAAAGCCAGTAGATGTCATTCTAGAGTTCCCTCGAGGATTTACTTAGTGCTGTTCCTCGTTTCCTGCTGTTTTATCCCTTTATTTGCACACTGATGTTGTATGTGAAAATATAAGTGGCCTAAGGCCCTATTAGCGATGAGGTTGAGTAACCTTTCGATGTTACTACTATGGCTTCTCGAGTTGGTGAATACTTTTCACGAATGGAGTGTTGGGCATTGATCATAACTGAAAATCTCTCAAATGTTCTTGAAAACATTGCTTTCTCCAAGATGCACGGAACTGGTGATACGGAATTGCATTGAAAAGATCAAATTACATGGAAAAAGTCATATATTGCAATTGGGATTTACAGACAGGTATTACGAATTCCTCCGAGGTGAATAGGAAGTCTATTTCTCAATATAACAAGACTAGATTCAAGTCAGAGATTTCTTGGGTATCATTAGGAACATTGCGTTGAGGTTCACAGTCAAACAGCGTCTTGTCTCGCATTCATCCGATCAACCAGTCGGCAGCATCTAATGAGCACAACAGTCCTAACCAGTGGGGAAGCTGTGGCGCTGCCGACCCCTCTGGTTGATACTTGGGCTATAACTGTTTACAATCCCTTTGACATGTGGAAGTAATTGCATACCGGCTTCAAGTGCTAATTGTTACACCCTGTACAGGTTAAACCCTTGTTTCGTATCTGGCGAGATGTTCTTCTTCTTCCTAGGCTTTATTACCTTCGCTCATGCTTATATCAACCGAAGTGGGTGTAGATGAGCCTCAGGCTGTCGCTTGTTGTGTGATTATAGCAGAACGTTCCCGCAGGAGACTCGAATGTTCTTTTAGAGTCGCAACCCAGCAGTCCCGTGATCCAATGGATCGGGTGCGCTCTTGGTGGTAGCGCTGTTGAGTTCTTTACATCTCTTCATCCACAAGTAACCAAGGCGACTTGATTCAATACCAACAACACCTGTTAGATAGATAACGCTCTGTACAGCCAAGGGTGCATCGCTGTGAGTGATTAAGGAGTGACCTTAGCATCAATCGCTTGTTATGGCAACCGTATATCACACATATATTGTATCGTCGTATGTTGTAGAGTACTTAGTATAATGCGGGTTATGGGAATTCCCCCTTGAGAAAGGGAACCTCCACACACAAAGTATACCAAGCATTTCGTACTCGCACTGGTTCCCGAAGCAGTCGCCTGGAGAGTAGTCCGTTAGGGACCTCCTCCTCTTTCCAGCCTGCAGCACTTCCTAGTGTATCCACTGTTGGTTGACTTCTTGGCTTTGGCTCTTATTCAGTCTCTTGTGGGAGGCACTGCACAAGCCGGTCGACAACCGCACAAAGCTTAGACGCTACGCTGCGGTGTGACGCCTGTTAGATACTCGGAACCTCATTAATTGTTAATAATTGAAGTTGGTATCCATGTCGTATAGAAGTTTACTTCATATTTTTCTCAGTTCCTTTGTATTGCAACTGTTATTCTAGTTTTATCATGAGTTTCACCACTACTACTACCGATATGAAAGTCACTCTCGTTGGAGCCTCCGGTGCTATCGGCATGCCTCTTTCGTTGTTGCTGAAGATGAACCCAATGATCACTGAGTTGGCCTTGTACGATGTCAAGCAAGCCCGTGTACCTGTTGCTGGCGTTGCTGCTGATTCCTCTCACATCAACTCTCCTGCTAAGGTCAAGGGTTATGCTGGTCCCGCTCAGCTCGAGGCCGCTCTTACAGGGTCCAAAGTCATCGTTTGTACTGCTGGTATCGCTCAAAAGCCTGGTATGTCTAGAGATGATCTTTTCAACGTCAACGCTGGTATAATGCGTCACTTGGCAACTGCGTTCGCCAAGTATGCTCCTGAGGCTGTTGTCTGCATCTTGTCGAACCCCGAGACTGCTCTCGTGCCCATCACTGCTGAAGTTTACAAGGAGGCTGGCGTATACGACTCGAGGAAGATCGTGGGTATCACCACCCTTGATGTGACACGTGCCAGGACATTCTATGCTGAGGCTACGGGTATGGATGTTGAAAAAGTTGACGTCCCTGTTGTTGGTGGTCATGGTGGTTGTGCTATCCTCCCTCTATTCTCTAAGGCAACTCCTTATGTCAAGCTGGACGAAGAAAGCATCGAAGAGCTTGATGATCATGTTCAAAATGCAGTTACTGAG